TAGCATCAAAAAGAAAAATGTCGTTGAAAGCTCAAAAAAAGACATTTCAGGCTAAAAGCTTGACACTGAAAGTGAATCCTCAGCCATACTTTTTTTATTGAGAAACTATAATGTGTAATGAGTCATTAATTTCGACCTTTTCTAAGGTTTTCTGGTCCAAAAAACATACCCCCCCCCCCACCCAAGCAAATTCCAAGCTACTTAGTGCTAAATCAAAAGTATGTATTATCTTTATTTAAATAATTTTTTATTCATTAAGTGTTTCACAGAGAAAATGTTTTTAATCCATTCTTAAAATTGAATTGAAGTATCTATACATTCTACATATAGAAGCTTCCCACAATTTTCTAGGGTTGTTTCCCCTCTTTCCGCCTGTCCCTTAGCTGTCTCAGAGCCGCTTTACTTTCTAACAAGGCTTAAAACTTAGTAAACATAAATTAGATTGGTTAAATGTTTTCCTTCCATTTCACAGTTTTATGAGTCCCACTGTATAAAAGTTATGAAATTGAAATTAAAGAGTTAATAACCATTTACCTTCCTCATCCTCAATCTTAATATTTTGGTAACTTGAGTATTTCAAAAATATTGGTTTTACTGTTTGATTACTTCAAATTAAAAAATATGCTTTTTACTGAATAAAAACATCAAATTGATTTATATCGAAGCTTATGCTGAAATGAACTCGGGAATGCATGACAGGCTATCAGAGAATTGATTTAGAGAAAATCAAAAAAATTTTCAAGAAAACTTTTCGACAAAATGATGTTCTAAGGCCCAAAAGGTTATAAAAAACAAATGTACACCTGCAGTATGGAAACAGTACAACAAAATGGCAGTTTTACACTTTTTTCGAGTAAATTCCACTCTAATATATTCTATTCTCTTTGGATATGACATAATTAGGAGTGTCAGACCCTGGTCTAGAGAATGTGTTGCTTGAATATAAGTTTGCATTTATTTTGAAAATAATCCAAGCTTTAGTTTTTATGCACTATACAACGGTAAAATATAGTTTTGCACTTATATAAATGTTAAACTTTAAACCTTCCATGGGATTTTTAGTATTTAATCTTTCCATTTTAGACTTGAAACACAACAGACATGACACTGAATTCTGATTGGATGTTTAGTGTAAAATATTTAACCATACCAATAATATAACATAAAATGTTTAATATGCATATTTGATACTTTGTTTTTATTTCTACATAACTAGGCTTTTAGGGCGCTTCGCGCCCATCTTCTATTTAAATTGTGAACATGTTCTTTTTGTTTACATTTTAAAACAACTAGAAATTCAAGGCGCTTCGCGCCCTTCTTTCTAGGCTTTTAGGGCGCTTATCGCCAATCTTCTATTTAAATTGTGAACATGTTCTTTTTGTTTACATTTAAAAACAAAGAAGAAAAAATTTTTGCGGATTTTTAATAAAAAATTCGCGGATTTTCAAGAATTTGATTTTTTTTACAAAATTAAAAACCTATAAAACACATTTTTTTTTAATTTTATCGTTCATGAACCTTCCCTGTGGTCACGTGATGTCCCACAAAAAATTTGGTAATTTGCTAAATTGAATTAAGTCAAATAAAATAAACTTTTCAGTTGTAACTTGTAACTTGTTTAATTTTCAACGATTACCTTTTATATTCTATAGCTTATGTATTTTTATGAAACTATACTTTCAAAACTCAAGAGCTGCGCAAATGAAAGATTTGTCTTTTATTTCTTTTCTGTATATTGCTTATTTTTTCTTTACTTCCAGTACCATATTTTCCCTTTTTCTGATATTTATTTGTCTGAGGTTTACATATCCATCCATGTCATATCAACTATTTATATTTACTCCCCAATATTCTAGAGCCGTTCTTTGAAATTTATCCACTGGTCATTTTTGTCCACTGATGTAATCCTATGCAGTCCAAAAGTAGTTTCTGAAATCACTTTGTCTTTACTCTTTCATTCATCCATAATCAATTTAGTCTTTCTGGTCTTTCTCTATTGTCTGAATTTCTATGCCAATAGGGGTCCTATTCCGGTGTCACGTTAAATAAGGCCCGGGCGTTATATTTGGTCCGGGTGAGTGTTACATGTGAAATCCATGTACAAAATTGATAGAAGGGGAAAGGGGGGGGTCAAAAAATCGTATATTAGTAAATTACCGCTGGTTATGTACAAAATTGATAGAATGGGGGGGGGGGGGCCACAAATTGTTTACTTTGACGGACCCAAAGCATGCACATTATCATTGTTTTTGAAATTGTTACAATTTTTTGTTTGGTAGGCCATAAAATTAAAAATTAGAAGCACACACATTATGTACATTATTTAGGGATGTTTTCCACTCTTTTGCAGACTAAAATTTTAAATGTGTCTGTTTACTAATGCCGTTGATACTGATAGTTTTATATACCATATCGTTTTTGCTTAGGTCGTCTTTGTATTGCACCCGGGCCAAATATTACCCCGGTCTGGATTTTATTCATCTGTAGTTTCATGTCGTCTGTTTTCTGAAACCTTTAATGTTTGCAGTCCCGTCATATATATTATGCCACAGGGTGTCCCACGAAACATGACAGTTGATGACTAGTTTAGAATGTCGTCTTCCAAATACTGGATTAGATTTAAAGACTTTTTGCAGTTTAGTTCGGTAAAAAAAAATCTTTTACTCCAATAAATCTTAATCTGAGATCGATTTTACTATAATAAAACTGCCGTATAATGTTTATTATTATTTTCTTTGGTATCAAACAACTTAACAATTATCGAAGAAGACATTTTAAAATATTCAGCAACTGTCATGTTTCGTGGGACACCCTGTAGGTTATACTATAGGGGCAAAAGTCAAAATCCTTTAGGGGGCAAATAAGCGACNGTACAGGGTACAGGGTACAGGGTACAGGGTACAGGGTACAGGGTACAGGGTACAGGGTACAGGGTACAGGGTACAGGGTACAGGATACAGGGTTTAGGGTACAGGGTACAGGGTACAGCAATGTAATCAGAAGTCTTTTTTTTACAAAGTTTAAAGATTGATCCTCAATTTTTTCACCCTCCCTCTCCCCCCCCACCATCACTTCTTTTTCTCTTATCTTAAACTGCAATGTCCAATTTATCGTATGACTTTTGTCACTTTGTGACGTGGCTGCTTATTATACTCTATGGAGTTAAGTCTAGACCTGGGAAACTCTCCGTTAATAGTGAAAGCTGTTATTTTGTTATGGCTAACCCAAGCTGAATTTAAAAACGAAGAATCTTTCATTAGATGTTAAGACAATCTCATGAAAGGTTTTACGGTCTCAAATTAAAAATATAATATATTTTTGAAGGGTTGGGTTATGTCTAACACCATATTGGCAGCCATTAACAGAGATCAAAATTGTCTTGATTCCAAGAAACACACAATTTAAACTTAACATTTCCCCCTGATTACAAATTGAGTGAGATTGTGATGATTACATATTTTGAGAAAAGCTCTTTCCACAAAACCCCTCCATCATTCCCCTCATAGGGCCGCGTTATGGAAGGAAAATTCCTGAATGCAAGGATGGAGAACAATGTCGTCTTAAATTTCATTATTTTCCGGGGTATATTAAATCGGTTCTCTTTCTTTCATCCCCTTCCTCCGATACTTTGAACCTACAGCAATATCCGACCCTGACCTACGACAGTCGATTTTAGGACTTTTCATTTTTTTAAAAGATTTTTATAAATAAATATCTGCAATTGAAGCTTCGTAACATTAAATATTCATATAATATAAATTTGCAGGTTCGATTTATTTGGGAATCATGCAATTTAGATAATTCCAGTTTAACCTGGGGAAACCCGCTTTTGTCAAATAGACGTTTTTAGTAATCTAAAATATTGGAACGATCATAAATTAAGGAACGTGGAACGGGATTGAAAAAAAAACCGCTCTTGAATCGTTAAAGCAAAAAATTCAGTGACGAATTCGTTATCGTCTTTGTTATGAAATAGCATTGTAATTCCTAATTTCAATAGCCATAATATTATTATGTCTGCAAGAGTTTATTTTATGAAAAGAGTAAATGGCTGTAAAGATGTGTCTGTAATGTCTCTGCAAACAGTGAAGACGGACAAGTTTACTCTGTTTGTATACTGTAACTTTCTTGTTCTACTAAGTATAAACTGCGTATGCAGTCAAAACTTAAAAAAACAAATGGTAAACATAGCAGACGAAAATTTGTATTTTTTTTGGAACTCCAATGGCCCAAAAACAATCCGCTAACCTTTTTTTCTCTCAAAATCAAAAGTTTCGAAAAACAAAAATGTGTAAGTAAATTATTTATATGGAAATTGTTTTTCAATGGTTTTTAAGGTTTCAACTGAACAGTGTATATTTAACACTTTAGAATATACTAAGAAGAAAGGAACAAGAGAATTAAAAAAAATTCCAATATCTCATTTTAATCAGATCAAGAGTGAATTTAATCTTGAATGAAAAAGTAATGAGATAACTGATTACTGATAAAAAGTACAAGGTTATACATGCATAAAAGATACGAGACATTAATTTTCTTCTTGTAAATACTTCATATACTTCAATTACCAAAAGTAAATCTTCCTGGGGGACTGATAGATGTAATTTCAAGTTACCAACCCATTAAAGGTCCTATTAACAACGGTACCATTTAAACATTTATCTGGGCAACAATGAGGAAGATATCGTCGTTATTTCATCTTAAAAAGTGATGAATGGACTATGGACAAATTCAATATTTCAAGATAGAAAACTAATGTTGTTTCTTTGTTTTTTTTTGTTACAAAAGACAACATTATGAAACGCCAACAGGGTCAACTGGATTTCTGGAGAAGACGACATTAGTTACTGTCTACCCGAGAAAATGCGTCAAATTTGCGTAGATTTTCTGATGCGCTATCTTTAACTAGCAAAGTCTTTTGATATATAATAACTGAAAACAAAATATGACAGCGCTTGGGACTAATTTCCCCCAATTTGTTTTTCTTTATCTTTCACAGAATGGCGTATATTAACGTTTTGTACTCACTAGCGCTTTCAATTTCCAGGATATATTTACCTATCTAGAATCAAATTTCCAATACTCGTTCTTTTAATATCAATGTCTTGAACAACTTTTAATCTTTAAATTGTTCTGAATGTTTATTTCGAAGATGTTCCTTTAAAAATAGAGCAAAAACAATTTGACCATTGCTATGGGTACAACTACAAATGTAAGTTGTGAACTCAATGAGTGAAGTGTCGAATTAAGTTGAAAAAGTGGAAAGGGTTTCTTCAGTAGTCCATAAATTTAATTTAAGATAATATAGCCTCATAAAACCTCCTCACCAGTCAGGGTTTATTTTTTAAAATTGTGAAATTATTGCTCTCTGATTCACATGACATATTACATAAATGTTTAGGTATGCTTACCACAGGTCGAGCTGGTTAGTGGCAGGACGGGCTGACCCAGCACCAACCAGCCGACTTTACACTCACCCTGATACACCAATTACAGCTGAACAGCTCTCAAAGCAGGTAAAAAAGAAACTCAGAAAACGAAAATCGGACAATTTAGATCTTAGTTATAATATGGATGAAAGTCTGGCCACCAAGCTAGTAAAGTTATTTTAATGTTAAAAACGGAAAGTGTCCCATTTACCCATCTTCACTTGAAAAAAATACAGTGAAAACCATCTATCATAATTATCCAAAGAACATGAAGCCCAGCAGTTTTGTACTAGGCACAGACCTTTATCACTTTAAATACTGGTAACACTACTTATTTCATAATTATCCAAAGAACATGAAGCACATTGTACTAGGCACAGGCCTTTATCATTTTAAATACTGGTAAACACTACTTATTTCATAATTATCCAAAGAACATGAAGCACAACAGTTGTGTACTAGGCACAGACCTTTATCACTTTAAATACTGGTAACACTACTTATTTCATAATTATCCAAAGAACATGAAGCACAGCAGTTTTGTACTAGGCACAGGCCTTTATCACTTTAAATACTGGTAAAACTACTAATTTCATAATTTCATAAGGCATCAAATTTAATTGCTTTGGTTGCTATGATTCTATTAAATGTTATCTTTATGCTTTAAAATTACACTTTTAATGCTTTACTACAAGGTCAAAGCATCCAAAGTGTTGAAATTGAAAAAAAACATTTTGTTCACTGTATTGCGTTCAGTGTGAGCTTTTTTAGTATAATAAACTTATTTTTTTATAGGTCATATCATTTGAAAAAGTAAAGCTGACGAACAATGAACTGAACAGACATGGCCAAATAGTTCTTAATTCTATGCATAAGTTTCAACCTAGAATCCATTTGGTTCAAGTGGAAAATAATATAAAGGTGATTTATTTCACCACTTTCAAACACAAAAAGATAATAATAAACAGATATTTCAATTGCAGGGAGACTTTGGGTTTATGTTCAGTTGGAGTTTGCAAATAAGACAATCTACTGCTTTTCTATTTCTATTTATGTAGTTTCAATGCTTTTTAAGATGAACAATGTTGATTTGGCAATATTTTTATTTTTATTTTCATTCCTTACAATGAAGATTAATTATAATATATTGAACATAACAGTTTTGTAATTTTATGTATATTAATAATCAGTATAAAAAAATCCTTGAGTACAATGTCCATATTTCTAACTCACATTTAGAAAACAAAGTGAGGCTGAACTTAAGTATGAACACTATGTTGTGTCGGATAATATTATTAATGTTTAGATTGTGGATGATCTGAAGAAATTTAAGCACAAAACCTTTGTTTTTCCTGAGACAATGTTTAATGCAGTGACTGCATATCAAAATCAACTGGTAATTAATAGTATCTATGTATCTTTGCTTGTCTGTTCGGGTGTTTGTTGGTTTGTTTGTGTCCATTAAACGTCAAAACGGCTGAACCAATCGGGCCAAAATTTGTTGTGGGACGTCTCACGTGACCTCAGGGAAGGTTTATGGATAATCGAAAATTTTAAAAATTAGCCTCCAACAAAATTCAATTTTTCATTAAATTTTATAAATCAACAACACCTCCGCGGACCTTTTTTGGCAATGTATGCAAAGAGAAAATGGCCACAACTGAAATAGAAGACTGAACTGAAAGTCTAGTTATATATAAAATACTTACAGGGTGTCCCAAGAAACATGGCAGTTGGTGAATAGTTTTAAATGTCTTCTTCTATGATTTGCGAAACTCTTTGACACCAAACAGAAAGGAAAAAAATTATGACATGGAATTTTGGAAGTCATACAATAGTAAAATTGATTTCAAAGTAAAATATATTTTATAAAAAGATTTTTTTAACAAAATAAACTGCAAAAAGTCTTAAATATTTAATACAGTTTATGTAAGAAGACATTCAAAACTATTCATCAACTTTCATGCTTCGTGGAACACCCTGTATAAACACAAAAAAAAATATTTGGCTTTTAGGGCGCTTCGCACCCATCTTCTATTTCAATTGTGAACATTTTCTCTTTGAATACATTGTAAAACAGAAACAAACAAAACCGGATAAAAACATTTTTTGCTGGATTTTCAAAATTAATGAAAATCGAATTTTGTTGGTGGCAAATTTTTGAAATTTTAATTGTCCATAAACCTTTCCTGAGTGCAACACTTAAAAGAAATTTTCCGGGTTTCCCAAACCAAACCTGGCCACGATACCGGTGTGGCGTTATTTCTAGGTAAACGTTAAATAATGGTAATAGATTAAGCGCAGCAAATTTTCCGCGGCATCCGTGCGTATTTTTGCAGTTTATGGCAATGGCCACAACAGAAATCTGATATTTTAGCTTAAATTTCAAAATTGGAAATTATATTTATACACTTAAAATATACACTATATGCTGATATATAATCAGGCCTGTAGCCATGGGGGGGGTGCAAGGGTGCAGGTGCACCCCCCTTTCTTCTGAAAGAGGGGTGCAATGACGAATTTGCACCCCCCCCCCTAGTCCCTTATAAAAGAAATTGTTTTCATAAGTTTCTAAAATCTAGTTATCAATTATATAGCCCGAGTAAGAATTGATTTTCAAACCAAATTATAATCTATTTGTGCGTTACTCATTAAAAGTGTGACGGAGTTTTTGTGTACTCTCTCAACTCATCCCCTGAGTCATGTCTCTTATGTGACCTATCCCAGGCTAACTAACAGTTAATCAGTACACTCTGTTGATTAAATATAACACAACATCAAAACTTACTCATAGTCATTTAATAGTTGTTTAAGTCTAATTTAAACAGTATGATTTATTAATTATATGCATAGAGTTCCATGGAAATGAAATGGTAATCTCCTGTACACTTTCAGACTTTTAGCCCCCCCCCCTTGACCGGTGTGCTATATGTTTTATTGTTTTTTTGAAGCATTTCCGTGGTGAGGCGTTTCCATAGCACCCCCTTGACCCTAAAAAGCTTTTTTTAAATGAATAAGAAATAGGATCATATCATTTTCATATTGCAAAGTCAAAGTAATAAATGATTACTTGACTCTGTTAGTTAAGCAGTACTTTCTTAAAAGCTCAAATACACTTGTTAAAAAGGTTAGCCTTTATAGTGTGCATTGAAAATGTAATAAAAACAACCATATACCACTGTAAAACCAAACCAAACATTGTTTAAAAATCATTAAAAAAAAACCCCAAAAAAATGTTCGCCTACGGCGCGTCATATTGCACCCCCCCTGGTCAAATCCTGGCTACGGGCCTGTATATAATGTGAGTACAGAAGTAATTAACTATACACTAAACTCTTATTAGTTGCAAGTATCAGAATCTTAACAATTAACTCATGTATACTAAGCTGTAATATCAATCCCTAATGTTAAAACAATTGATTTTTATTGTCTGTCGCTCAGCAAAACTTGATTGATTCTCAAATATGAGAAATACTTTCACTTTATTTAATGTTTACATTCACAGAATTGTGCGCGAATGCCGCGGAAAATTTGCTGCGTAGAGTCTACTACCATTATTTAACGTTTACCCTGAAATAACGCCACACCGGGTTTCAGGAAATTGGGTATCGTACCACGAGTTTCATGATTTTCTTAAGTTTTGCACTCTGGGGTCATGTGAGGTCCACCAAATTTGGGCCCGATCAGTTCAGCCGTTTTGACGTTTATTGGATACAGACAAATAAACAGACAGACAAGCAAAGTATATATATACAAGCAGGGTGTCATAAATGTATGTTTGTTTCCTAAGGTTAGAGAGTTGTTTCAAAAATAAAAAAATGATACATTCATGGGTGACTCTTGACATGCTAAATCTATAATTGAATATACTATAACCTCTTTTGTGACATGGGATAACATTAACCGTCTCGGAACAGGTAGTGTTGGGCATTTGGTTTTCTTTCTTTACAAATTTCAAAATTGTTTATCCTAAAATGTTTTTTGTGTGTGCTTTTCTTACACTATGCAAAATGTTAACCCTGAGAGAAGATATTTGCATGAACGCACTAAAAAACGAACCAGATGAACGATCGGTTTTTCTTTGGTTTGTTTTTTAGTTCGTTCATGCAATTATTTTCTCTGAGGGTTAAAATCATATGGATATATAATATCATTTCATACCTTATAGTGTAAAGAAATAAAAATGGTTAGAAAAGAAAATTTAGTAGTTTTTAAAATTTCTCAAAATTTTGTAGAATCTTTTAAAAGTCCAACCCCCTATAATAAGTCTTAAAAAAACGAACGAAATCAAATGCATGTAGGCACAGGAAGTCGTTCCAACCAAACCGTAACACTAGACTAGACAAATGTTAAATTCGCCTCTCTGAGTAACAAACAGTTTTCTGCAGATTATGATTTCTTGTAAGAAAGGGATGCAAAAATTTTAAAAACTTTAAAATTAATAGAAAGACGATATTTTCTGGCATCTTTATTAGGCTGATGGTTTTACGTATAATGTTGTAAAGTCTTTGGGAGATGGGGAGATGTTCTTAGATTGGTTAAATAATTCTAAGTTGAATAGGATGAATTTTAAAGAGAAAGTTTAGGTTCCATGTAAAGCTGGGCACCAACCTAGAGTAATATAATAATATATATATATATATATAGGTATACTATCAATATTTAGAGATCATATAAATATATATCCATAATATATTAAGAAATCTTCGTCTCCTCTTCACTTCTAAATTTCCACTGTAAAATCTGAAATTACGAAGAACAATAGAGCTGAAAAGTTTCTCTTACGAACATTAAATTTCATAAAAAAGATTTATTTTACACTGCGTACTATAAGGAGGGGATGAAAAAAAATAAGGAGTTTGCGAAAGTTTGAAGTTTGCATCTTTGCTAAAAATTGACATAGACATGATGTAAAAATTAAAAGAAAGACATATCTTAATATATCTATATTTTGAAAAGTTAGAATATCAGGTGCCATTAATTACAGAAAGGACTCTTATATCTAGAATTTATATTTTGAATATATATCAACTTCAACTATTGAAAATTGTTGAGACCCTTTTGAAATTTAATGCACAACATGTTTGAAAAACAAATATTTATAAGACTATTGTTTATGTCGGGTTCGGAAGTCGTGTACATAAAGGTTTTGATAGTTAAAGGTAGTCAGATTCAAGAAATATATATACCAGGAACCGACATATCATGTTGAAATGTAAGCCAAAAATTATATAAATGATCGATTTGTATTCGCACTAATTTGAAATGTTCACTCATAGAGAATAGAATATATATATAGAGAGGAATTTACTAGAAAAAAGTGTAAAACGGCCATTTTGTTGTACTGTTTTATACTGCAGGTGTACTTCAAATATTTATGCTATATAACCTTTTGGGCCCTGGAATATCACTTTATAGAAAATCTAAAAGAAACCCAAATTATGAAATAGGCTGGTTTCATAATTGACCAATGATCATTTCACATAGACTCTATGCCTTCCACTTTACAAACGATGATTTTCCGTTATAATTATAAATCAAATTATGTTTTTATTCACCTAATTCATAATAAAGTTTATTTAACAGTTTAAAAAATTCGAAATTGAAATGAATAGTCTAGGGAACATACTGTATTAATGTACTCCACTGCATATAATTTGTGAACATTTACATGATTTGTACACTTTGAACTCCCTTTCAGGCTGAAAGGGACTGAAAAAAATTCATACCGAGAGATTCTTTTAATTCCTCTCTATATATTCTATTCTCTATGTGTTTACTAGTGTTATGATTGTCAGAGCTCTGGTCCTTTCCTCCCAACTGCTGTGGGGGGCGGGGGCAATGGGTTTGTTTACATTCCTCCCAGAGTGTACAGTACACAATATGCGTATATCTGAGTTGGGCGTTCCTGTGTATAGTTTCTTGGTCAGATTTATACAGGGGGCGGAAACGTCATGTGAGGGTGTCTGTACCAAAAGAGTGTGTGTTAGTTTAAAGTACCAAAGGTGTGTACTGTAGGTATATAGAGTACATACGAATCTTGGTCTTTGTACAGTCTATGAGAGTACATTTGTGTATTGTTAATTGTTTACTTAGAAATAAGTTTAATATACATGTAGCATATTATTTATATATTTAAGTCAACACTATAAGCCAAATGTTCATGCAAAGAATATAATTTGATTAAAGTTTACAATAAATATAGCCGTTATTCAAGTTAAATTATAATTGACAACAATGTTCTGCAATTTCCTTGACTGCAATCATGTTGTGTGTCTGTACCAAAAGAGTGTGTGTCAGTTTAAAGTACTGGTCTGCAAAGCAGTGCGACTGGCTTTCTCATGCCAGACCAGCGCCATTTCCTTTCCCTTTATTCCTATTCCCTGGATTTATAGTTGTGCGGTGTCAACAGAATGTGCCTTTAAGTGAAAATAAGGTGAGAGGAAAACAAAGGAGGCTGGAGTGAAGAGGCTTAAAAGTTAGATTAACTTTAATACAGTGAGAGAGAAAACACGGTATATAGGGAATGTGAGGTGAACAATTAAGTCTTTCGTTTATGAATCATTCTTCTGGGAATGTCCAGTCATTTCTTTAAAAAAATGCACCAAACGGGTAAACAAAATTTACAATAACAATGTCTTGATCTTATAAATTGAACAAAAAACATTCATGCAGTTCTGGATTTTTTCAAGGTTAAATTCTCCATTGATTAATTGATTTATTTTATATATATATATATATATATATACAGGGTGTCCCAAAAAACATGGGAATTCAGTGACGAATTCGCTATCGTCTTTTTAGATAATTCTTCGATTTAGTATAGTGATACCTACTGAGAAAGCTGTAATTTCTAAGAGTTTCGTCTGCTAAGTTCACATTTTGTTTGTTTATGTTTTGACTGCATACGGTTGTAGTTAGTAAAACAAGAAAATTGCAGTATACAAACAGAGTAAACTTGTCTGTCTTCACTGTTCATCTTGCAGAGACATCATAGACACACCTTTACAGTCTTTTACCCTTTTCATAAAATAAACTCTAGCAGACATAATAATATTATGGCTTTTGAAATTAGGCACTACAATGCTAATTCATAACAAAGACGATATTCAATTCGTCACTGATTTCCCATGTTTTTTGGGACACCCTGTATATATTCTACCTAATGTCCACCAGTCCAAAAATGTATCCGGTATAGATAAGGTGAAAAAATTGCAGAGCTGCGACTTAAATAAATAAGCCATAAAAAGAATTTAGTAAAACCTATTCATTATGTATGAATATAGATATACATTTAAAAAGTTCCTTTTATTGAAAAAAGAATTTACCATATTCCAAAATATTATTATTTGGTAAACAAATGTATTGTTGTTAGCATTTTTTTTAGATTACGAAGTTAAAGATTGATAGTAATCCATTTGCGAAAGGGTTTCGTGACTCCGGAAAATTCTCCGAAGAAGAGAGTGAAAGGATCGAGTTCATGATAGAATCCAAATCAAGGTTAGCTTCCACTGAACAGTCTAAACATATCTTTTCAACAGTACGGCCTGTCCAGATCTCTACGAGTAAATTCATTCCGGAACCTTCAATAGTTCCTTCTTCTTTATTTCTAGCTTCACAGTTCAGGTAGAATTATGGAAAACAAATTAATACATTGATTAGATAAATAATCTGAAAAGGAATGATTTCAGGAAAGCATACCTTGCAAATGAAGGAATACCTCCTCATGGTTCTTTCAACTTTGATGATGTTCACTGCACATTTCCATTGCTAGACCATCCTTATAACTTTCTGTCGCGACCAGTTCATCCATTCTTGAACCCAAGATTGAGCTGGATTACCAGGACTAGTCTCAATTCCGTTCTTCCATCATTCTGGAGTCACTGGTTGCAACTTCATAACCTTCATTCAGCCCTGAATTACAGAGCACAGGTTCCCAGTCTTGTATTCTAAAATTAAGAATTAAACATAGTACGCGGACGGCAAAAATGTGCAACAGGTGTACAGTGTTCAATGTTTTATTGTGATTTATTCATGAGGAATCATTATTTTTTAATTTAGTACCCACATTTTTTCTTTTTAAGATAAATCTTCTGAGATTTTACATGGAAAAAAAGTAAAATTGATTAGGGTCTGATATGAATCATACGGAAGAAAACAAAGGCTTGCATATTTGCGCATTATACATAATGTGGATATTCTCCATTGAACACAAAAATGATGCATCTGCTTCAATATTCTTGTTTCAGGGTCTTCCGCCTGAACCAAAGAAAACAGAACCTGGAAAGCCAGATTTATCGTCACTTAATAGTTGAATTACAAGACAACATAATGCTTTAGCGTACATTGAACTAATAGATGTAAAGTCGGATAATTAGAATTTTTACATAATTGGAGTGTTCGCGAAAAATGAAAGGTGGTATAGGCTTACGACGAAAAATAAGCGCTTTTGATCGCTACTAATCTTACTTCTATCTGTTGCTTCTATAAGGAGAAAATTGCTGAAAACGACTTAAACCAACTTTTGCTGAATAACATAGCATCCACCCAAGTTGAGAACGTTGCAATATACGAATCGTATCATTAAAAAAAATCATTTTAATTTCAAACATACCATTCAGATATTACAACCTATAGTCATCGATTATTTTTCGTACATTTGTATGTAGCTAATTTTTCATAGTATTTTTTACTTCTTTTATATACAAAGCACTTAAAACAAGGATTTTTTTCCCCGCTAGGTGTCTCTGCCACGTACGGAATCATTAAGAGCATTGAGAGCAGAGACACCTGGCGGACAAACTAGTTAAAGTGCATTGTATATAAAACAAATACAAAGTATTATGAAATATCAATTATGCAAATGCATCGAAAAATAATCGATGACTAAAGTTTGTAATATCCTAATAATTTGTTTGATAATAAATTGATTTTTTTACGATCAGACTCATGGATTGCAATTTTCTCAATTTGGGTAGATGCTACTTTATTTTGCATGAGTCGTTTTTAACAATTTTCTCCTTATAGACGGAACAGATAGAAGTAAGATTAGTAGCGATCAAAAGCGCTTATTTTTCGCCGTATGCCTGCCTATACAACCTTTCATTTTTCGCGAACATTCCCTATAAATTAATACATTTTGATAAAGTACTTAATTTGTTTACGTTGGCAAATGGGTTTACCTGACCTCACCATATTTAAATCTAAACAAATTATTTTAGTCGCTTACTTAAAGGGATTTATGCTTTAATTGACCATCCAATTAATGGCACTGTAGACGTAATTACAAGTAAACCTCAGATAATGGGTTAGGGTACAATTGGGAATTGAGCATTGTCCTCTTTTTATTAGGGGTCACATGAATTTCAAACTTAAAGAGAGACATGCCCGACTTACAAAATACCCTTTAAACATTAATCCTACCCTTTAAACATTAATTCTATCAATAATTAATATCCCAAAATAATAACATATATCTTCATTTCTACTTTATTAGATATCAGATATATGCGGCTCTCGATAATTTGAAAGTCACTTGATTGACATTTACGTTATTCTAAAAGATTTCAAATGTGAAATAAAATATCTTTGATTATTAAGGGTTCTAAGGAAAAGGAATTGAGCTCTCTCCAATATTTTTGTAAACTGATTGTGTAAACCTTGGATAATTCAAACTTATATTATTTGATCTAACAGAATTTATAATTTGAAATATCTAAGGTATACAACATTGGGTTGTATAGATATTGGGATTAAAAAATCAGTGTTTGTGGCAAAGTGTCAATTTCTTTCAGCTTGTTCCATGGCTTTTTTCTTAGATGAACCTGTTAATTAGCCAATATTTGGACAAGTGACAACATACAATAATCAGATTTGTTGTACAACTTGACGCCATGAATTTTCAATGTTTTCCGCCATATCCTTACAACCATAGTTTATCATTTAGTTTGGACCAACCTAAACAGGGTAGATTGCTTTGGTTGATTGGCCCAAAATTAGATAACGAGATGTTAAAATAGCTGGATAAACACACAATATTTTCATTATGTATACAAGTACAGTGGTTACAAAAAACATTTTGTAAATAATGTGGCCTTTTATATTTTTTGAATTAAGAAATGTGGCGAAAAATATTGTAAATTTTAGTCTATTTAATAGAATTTCCTAAATTTCATTATTACTAAAAACTGTAATTTGAGTAGGATGTGCATGATAATAAAAGAAACAAAAAATATAATTTAGGTTGTAGGAGATAGTAAAAACGAACTTAAATTTTATAGATTTTCAAGATATATTTAGATTCTAGACAACTTCAATTTTATAGATTTTGCTGACCTTGTTTTTTCAACTCAATTTTGTTTGAATTCCACAATTTTGGAAGCATTCCTGAATGTTAAGCTTTCTATTAAGATTTAATTATAAACTTTTCGTTTTCTCTTATCTGGTTTTATTCAGTTCAACTAGATATTTACACATCTTTTAGAAGATGAGGGAAAGTTATTATAAAAGTACAAAGCTTCCAGGCGCCAATTTTTGGTTTTAACTTTTAATTGTAGATCTTTTATCGATATTTTTCGTGAATTTTGTAAATCGAAAATATCTAAGGCAAGTTTTTTCAATTCTAACTAAACATGCTCCTTCCCTGGGATAATGTGAGGTCCAACAACAAATTTTGGCCTGATCGATTCATTCGTTTTGACGTTTATCGGTAACAAACAAACAGACAAGCAAAGTATTTTTATTGATGTATAAATAAATGCCAGAACACTAACTTGTTTGTATATCGAGAGTTCCAATCTTGAAAATGATAAAACTAACTGCTTTTGTAAAAGTTTTTTTATTTTTTAAGCCATAAAAGTATGTTTTTTTTCATTTTGGTAGTTTAACAGGCCCAAAAACGTAAATTGCAAAAAGATCGAAATCTTATCTGGTTTCAGGCATAACCTCCTCTTATTGCAAAGCTATTTAAAAAAAAAAAAAATTAGAATTATTTATATGTAACTGAACAAATTTTCTTTTTTATCCTTTTACGTAAAATCGAAAATTGAGAAGCTATGAGGTTACAAAGTTGTACCAGTAATGCCGCATAAATTTGATATTATCCCTGTGTCTAGTTTGCAGTGCATGCTGTGTCAAGTTTAGATATTTTAGATAGTTATTACCAGGCCAAAAAAGTGAGATTAAATATATTTATATGCATAAAAAACTTTTTGAACGCTAGCATTTTTTGCAGAATAAAATGATGATTTTGATTAAAAATCAATTTTCCTAAAAGTAACTTTATTTCTTTTTCATGTAAAACTTTTAATAAAATGTAATCTTTAATAAAATTGAAAGATTAAAGTATCAGAAATTTAATTGGAAAACATCTGAAGAAGAAGATGAAAACCAAGTTAGCTTCAGGTTCCATAATAAAGCGACGTACGAGTTAAATGAATAGAAAGGGGTCTGAAAGCTGTCATCAAGTTGATTACTCAATCCCATCAATTCTACCAGAATAGACTGGAAATACAAGGGAGATGAGTCCCAGAGGAGGAAAGAAAAGCCAAAACATTTTTATCCTTTTTTATTTTATAAGGTTCAATATTTGTAAACCTAGCTACTTATTTTACACAAAGCCGATATAGCTCCAAGCTGACAACTGATTCGAAATAGCTTTTCATCATCATCAATAACTGATCAATATATGGATATTATAACATTTTTGAGCAATTTTGGATTTCTTTTTCATTCTTTCTCATATGATTTAAAAAGTTAATTTATTATTATTATTATTATTGCTATTAAATTCAGTTGCTATAACGAAATTTGCTTTTAGAAACAATTAATAGGTGATATCAAAGCTTGTTTCTATCCAAATCTGGTACTAACAAATTAGTTGATTTACTTAATTTACTGGAAAATTCTATCTGAAAACCCAGAATTAGCGTCAATTTATACATAACAAAATTTCTGTGTTCAAGGTTAATGTTTTAAATTAAAAATTTTTAAATGAAGTGAACAAAATGCAAAAATAAAGAAAAAAATTCAGCGAAACAGGTCTTTTATTTGAAAAATTAAACTTTTATTATTGATCAGATTAATGATCAAGACTAAAACTGATTTTTAACTTACTACACCCTATATTCGATTTTAGATAGATTTTTGTCTATTTCAAAACATGTATTCGTTCTTTTAAAAGTTATTTTGTATTTGCATAATAGAAAAAAAGTTTCCTTACAATATTTCCTTTTTTGATTGGAGGTATGATGATTTTGTCCACCATAAACTCTGTTAGAATAGATATTATGTTGTGATTAGAATAAAAGGCTAGAAACCATAAATGATTGAAAATGTATATCGACAAATTTTACTTGCACGAATAGCTGAAAATTGTTTTTAGGACAAAGAAAATAGCATGAAAAGGAAACGCACGTAAACATAAGATAAAACATTAGAATATTCAGTTTTCCAGCAACCTCGTTCTACCTTTGATTGTTCAGAGAGAAACCATTTCAGTCCTTCATGTTAACTCAAAAGTCGCCGACCGCGCAAAACAGACCCTTTAAATCACAGTGATAGAAAATGAAACAGGACAAGAACAAAGAGAATAGAATATATATTAGAGTGGAATTTAAACAATCCCTCGGTATGAAAGAGAGTTCAATGTGTACAAATCATTGTAAATGTTCACAAATTATATGCAGTAGAGTACATTGATACAGTATGTTCCCTAGACTATCCATTTCAATTTCGAATTTTTTAAAGCTTTTAAATAAACTTTATAAAATAAATTAGGTGAATAAAAAACACCATTTGATTTATAGTTATAACGGAAAATTATCGTTTGTAAAGTGAAAGGCATAGAGTCTATGTGAAATGATCATTGGTCAATTAGAAAACCAGCCTACTTCATAATTTGGTTTTCTTTTAATATTAATTTTAGATTTTCTATAAAATTATGTCTCAGGGCCCAAAAGGTTATACAGCACAAATATTTGAAGTACACCTACAGTATGGAAGCAGTACAACAAAATGGCCGTTTTACACTTTTTTTCTAGTAAATTCCACTAGTATATTCTATTCTCTTTGGACAAGAAGCAAGAGTAGAGGCGGAACAGGGTGTGAAATGGTTTTAATAAAGAAGCTTATTACCCTTCAGAATCGGAATCAATAGATATTTTTGGTAATGTGGAATTGGAATCCAGGCATCAAGAAACCACAGGAAATAGAATTCAACCCTCCTTGATGGTGCAATTATGTAATAAATACAGCAATCCCCATATTTCTGAACCTCAACATACCTAAATATATTATGTTATACATTGTCTGTAAATTTAAATGTGCTTATGTAACAACATGCATTGTGGTTAGATTAACTACTTTTATATCTATCTATGTTAATCTTTAAATATGTACATTAAATTTAAACTATGCTGTAAACATGTGTGGAGATAGGTTAACTATGTTATATTTACCCTTGCTAATCTTATAAATACGCACATTAAACTTAATCTACGCTGTATCAACATAAAACTTGTAATTACTTCGATTCAGGTTAACTTGTAACAGAAGATATCTAAAAAAAATTATTTGATAGTGACTCTGCTTTGTTTACGCTGATAGAAGTAATTGTGTCCTCGTTGAAACATACGAGCTGAGATCCTGCCTTGAGATTTGGCATTGATTAATTAAGAGCTTGTTTGATAGCTACGCTTGTGTCCTATTGACATTCAGAGTCAATAGTCCTCATTGAAACATATGATCTATGATCATGCCTTGAGATTTGGCATTGATCAATTAAGAGCTTGTTTGATAGCAACGTTGTTCCTGTATTGATAATATTCAGAGCCCATAGTTCTCATTGAAACATTCAATCTGAGATTGTGCCTTGAAATTTGGCATTGATCGACTAAGAGCTTGTTTGATACCTATGCTTGTGTCCCTGTGTGACATTCAGAACTGATAAGATCATGTCCATTGGTTAGACATTGATTGCTGAAGAATTTGTGTTCTGGTTGACATTTATAGCTGACAAGTTGTACCCGTACTGATACAGTTCAGGAAGAAGAGTACAGCATTTACTACAAGTGGTAGCAGCGGCGAGTATCAAGGAACCATAGTTAAATGCCACAGACTCAAAGGAAGAAAAGTGCAAGTGATTACCGGATTTAACTGATAATAGGAGAAACTGTGTCAGAAGAAACAGTAAACAGTAACAGTTCAGCAACAAGTTAGGATTGCTATCAGAGCATACAGAGTACCTGAATGTATAGCTTACCAGAGTGTAACAGTGGACAGTTTTAGTTAAAAATCCGATATCAAAATAGCGAATATGAAGCTTAAACAATTTAAATTGTACCCTGGAGTACCCAGTGGAGAATCAGACAACGGAGTACCAGACATGAACGAAATTAGTGAAACAGGTGGAAACATTCAACACAAGGAATTGGAAACCCTGAAGCAAAGATTAGAACAAGCAGAGGTAATAGAAAACTTAAAGCAGACAAAGACATGAATACCTAGCTAGGGAGCGTGAAAGTGGTGAAGATACCAGGCAATATTTTGCTAAGAGGAACCTGGGAAAACTCAAAAGGGACTGTTTTTATGTGGCTTAGAAGCGACAGCATGAAAACGAGATTAAGGCTGCAGTACGGGATTGCCAGCAATCCCATGATATGGATGGGTTAAAGGGTACATATACAGACAGTTTTGAGACAGTAGAAAACAGCAATAAATCTGATGAGATGTGAGAAACAGGAAAGATACCCATAAAAGTAAATACAATGACAAGAATGATTGTGTACAAGCCTAAAGATGAAAGATGATGGTGATGTCAACGAGCTACAAACCATAGATATTGAAGAGGTAAATAAGAAGATAATATCAAATACGGGTTTTTCAGTGAAAGGTTCCAGCAATAGGTGTCTGGAAACCCTGGAGTTGAATGATGTGAACGACGTTAAAGAGAATTGTCCTGATTTAAGAAACATTTCCTATAGTTTAATGATGAATCAAGAAGAGATAACCTTGAGTGTGAACAATATGAGTAAGATGGCCGATGAAGAAAAAGTCATGATGGATGAGGAAGAAAAAGCATTGATTGAAGAAAATAAGAAAGCCATGCTGAGTGATGAAGAGAAAGTTATGATTGAAGAGGAAGAAGATCGAGTGGTTAAAGTGAAACCCATTGTGATAGAAAGGTTTAATCATACAGTGAATTTGGACACGGAAAAGTTAGTGAAACAGGAAGTGACAATTTCCTGTGCAGAACAAAAAGCAGGCCGAAAATTTAGTATTTCCTGTAAAGTTCAAGACAGATGAAAACGAGATGTTCTTGCTCAGAAAATTATTAACAGGTGAAAGTACGCCGGAAGTTGGAGAAGATAAAGAAAAATTGAAGCCTTACTGAGTACTAAAGAGTTTTTAGCATTACTAGAAGTCAAACACGGGTTGAAGCATGCAGTAAATCTCAGGAATTATAATACAACAAGAAGTGACAGAGTCTTGCTCAAAACAAGAACTGTGTCTTATACCGGAAGTCTGAGAAAGATAAAATTTTTATTTCAATGCTAGAAAAGAGATGTTTGTCATCAGGTTCCAAAGGAGGTCTACAACAGTGTACCCAGGAAGTAATAAACTCAAGTTACAACAGAAACCAAGAATGGAATAAATGAAGATATGGAGCTGATGGAAATAAAGAAGTATATCAAAAATAAGGAATAAATAACCCTAATTTTCAACACTTTCCCCTTCCATCCAAATCAAGAAGACCCTGTCCTTTCCCTTCTTCCTTACCTCTCAGCTTCGTAGTTTAATATTTTACGGGTAGGGGATTTTGAATGAAGAATTTTGGAGTAAAATTTGATCATTTTAAGGTTTTCTAAAAACTTTCGAAAAGATTTGATTTTTAAAATCTAGATCTGTTTCTTGAATAAAAGATACCTATCAGGATAAAGCGTGAAAAAATATAAACCCTTTTTAAAGAAAATATTCCATATTAAATAAAAAATGCATAAAAGCGCATTACAGTTCAAACCTGCAGGACCCATACAAGAAGTCAACCAAATATCAATATAGTAGACCTTTGAACAATTTTAAGTCGTTTGATCAAGTAATACAGAATATTTTTAATGGATTAAGTCAGATCAAGCACCCAGTTTTGCTCACAGAAAATATATTATAATTTCCTCAGTCTCCAAATTGGCGAATGTTGTGTAATTTTAAAACTCAACAATACCTTAGTTAAAAATGTAGGAAGTTTCCTACTTTATTTAATTTCATATCTCGTCAGAAGAAATTAAAAGCGTTAATTAAATATTTTTCCAATCCCATTATCTTTAATCATCCTATTAGCATGATATTGATAGATCTAAGGTATCGAATCAGTTACATGCAATCTTTTTCTGCTTGGAGAGATATGTTTTTGATATTTGATAAATTTCACATTAAAAGTTTTGGCAATCTTTTTATTAACATGTTAGATTTTAGCTTGGTTCGGCTTGGCCGGATATTAAATGAGAGCAAAGTATATCCAGGGGACTGAGTCACAAATAATTAGAATTTAAATATTATTAAAAATTAAATCAAATCATATATTTTTTGCGGTAATAATAAAGTTCTTCTCTCATGTATATATTTATATATTAAAAACTAAAAGATTCGAAATGAAAAGTAAATAATTCAAGTACCTAATTATTTTAGGAGTTTTGCATCCAGCTCAGTTAACAAAATGCTGGTCTGTAGATCAAACGTTTGAGATCTGTTAAATGTTTTTGGAAAATGTGGAGATTAGGGTTAGGGAGGTTAGGTTTGCTGGGAAAAATGATTTCAGAGATCTGCAGAAGATATCATCGATGAGAAGTAACAGATTGGACCGGTTAGGTTTGGATGAGGTAGGGAAAAAAGTTGGAGAAGGGTGCAAATAGGTTTGGAGAAGGTATAGTTAAGGGCTGGAGTAACGGTCTGCTAGGTTGAGGCCCGGAAAATGAAATGTTAAGGTCTGGGGAAGGTATGGATTAAGTTTGGAGAAGGTATGGTTGAGGTTTAGCCCGGCCTCGGAAAGGTGGAGGGGAGAGGGGGGGATTTCTCCTCCGGATTCAGCAACAAGTGCTCAGTTGAATATCAGGTTACCCTCAGAACATCAACTCTAGGTTAGTCTACAATATACAAAGATAAATGTACACAAGGTGAATATATGGGTCAAAACATATGTGAATAGGATTTGCAAAATGGGTGGCAAGTTCTTTTTATTCTCAAATATAAACTTATCTACGGTTAAAAAGGTATATTTCAAAGGAGTCCGGATCTATGATTTTCATCAGTATGTTTGCTAATACAACCAAAATTTGAAATAATAACCAACTATAACATTTCATGGATAAAAGAATTGACTTTAAACCTTCAAATATATTCTGAGTAAAATCATTCTAATTAAAGTTTGTTTTGAAACCACGGAAATATCTTTGTATTTTGCCTTTTCTGACCGGTAAAAACATCAAAGAATAATTAAAATAATTTTAGAGAAGAAAAAAATATCCAAAAACCGAATGCCAGCGATTCAGAGGGTTGCCTACAATTCAAATTGCATGTTTTTTTAATGAAAATCATTATGGGAATTGTATAAATGGCGTCTTTGATATATTCTGGAAATAAATAAACAAGTGAATAAAGTTTACCCTGTAATCCTTTTATTTGTTTCGGTGGAGACTCGATGTGTTGTATAATTGTGCATTTGATTTTAAGTTGTTTGCCATTTAAAATGAACGGTTCCCTCAAACTATCTTGCTCTAGCACTCACTAATTTTTGACAATATCACCGTCTATATCTATTTTTAATGCATAGGGTCGCTATTTCAAAAATCTAAAACAGCCCACAACATTTCTTTCATTTGAGCTACAGATCTAAAAGAAACTGATCGAGTTTTGGCCAACAACCTGATGGTTTAAACTTTTATATTTCAAGTTTAGACTATTTGATCTGACAGAATTCATAGTTAAGAATATCTAATGTCTACGACGTCTGGTTGCAAAGATAGAAAATCAGAGTATGTGACAAGAACTTAATTCCTTTATATAAAAACATGTTTACGTGTATCTAAAAAACGTCATCATATTCATGTGTAATTGGTCAGGGTCACTTTTTTGTCATATCTCACATGATCCAAGTGAAAAATTAGGGTCGATTAAAATATTTGATATTTGTTTAAAAATGTACGAAATAAAATACCCTGTAGATAGGTCAGCATAATACCAATACTTGAAATAATTGCACGCAAAGTAAATTGTTGTTTTCCGTTTATTATTAAGGCCTTTAAAGGGACTGTAAGCGTAATTTTAAGTAAACCTCAATACAAAGATGAAAATACCCGATTTAAAAGCTTTTTTCTGATCAAGTATGAAAAAGATATATTTTTTCTTTAAACTTTCATTTGCGGTTTCGCTGAGAAAGTGGTTTAACCAATCCTTGTTTATAAGAATTTGAAAGCTTTTTTCTGATCAAGTATGAATAAGATATATTTTTTCTTTAAACTTTCATTTGCGGTTTCGCTGAGAAAGTGGTTTAACCAATCCTTGTTTATAAGAATTTGAAAGCTTTTTTCTGATCAAGTATGAATAAGATATATTTTTTCTTTAAACTTTCATTTGCGGTTTCGCTGAGAAAGTGGCCGGTTTAACCAATCCTTGTTTATAAGAATTAATGGAGAAACTCACAGAAATAAACACTAAATCGAGCATTGCCATCTTTGCAGGGAGGGTCACTTGCAATTACGCATACAGTCCATTTACGATTGTAACTTTAGTTTTCCCCCTCTCCTCATCACAAATTGAAAACACAGACTCCCATTATCCTATTAGAGTATACATGTAAAGATGATCAAGAATTGTTTTGTTAAGGTATATTTATTTGTTTGTTCATCATTTAGTCGGAATATTCGCCATTATTGCTTGATTTAAGGCATTATCGACAATATCCTATTTGATTAACTACATTATTTTTTAATTAGTGTACTGAATTTAGTCGCCTATATTTTCGCTCCTCCGCAATATTTCAGTTAAAGATAATTCTATAAAAAAAATCCTAGTAACAATGGAAATTGCTGACGCTAATCTTATTGCATTTCATGAAAAATAAATGCGTGAACCTGAATTGAGTAAACTTTTTAATTTGAAATCATTGATTACAAACCAGAAACTAAACTTTGTTAATATATTTTAATTCACTTTAAAGAATGGTATTAACCCTATAAAAACTTGGGAGGGTCTTAATCTATGTATAGACTTTTTTCCGCCCTGTACCCTACCCTACAAATTAAAAGAAAAAAGTTTTTATTAAAAAATCCTTTAAATTACTATTCATAAAAAGTCACAAAAATTCAGGGTGATAGTATCAAAAATGAGAGTGCTAGGACAAAAAACTAAAGGGGGGGGGGGCGCCAAAGGCCCCCCTCCCCAGCCTGTTTAGGGTTAAGAACCTTTTTATTTTGACTTTAGTTTTTCTTCAAGTCAGGTGACATTATAATGTACAATATTGACAATCTGTTTTTCAGCTCTGACGTTTCCCAGACCGTTTAGAGGATGTCGCTTATTCTTGGAAAGTGTTAAGTTCTCTAAAAAATGTTTACCAAACAGAAGACCGGATTAAGGATTATAGAAAGCAATCCAATTGCACAGTAAGTAGATAAACAACATACAACACGAACAAATTACAATCATATCACAAACAAAGCCCGGTATTATTATATCTGAAAGAAAATGTTTATTACTCGTAAAAAAATTATAAACAAAACTTCATTAAAGGAGTTGATTCTTTGCCACAAACTCTGATTTTCTAACCCCTATATCTTTGAAACCCAATGTCGTAAACCTTTGATATTTTAAACTTATATTATTTGATCTAACAGAACTCATAGTTTTAAATAACAAAGGTCTACGACATTGGAATCTAAAGATATAGGGATTGAAAAAACAGAGTTTGTTGCATTGATTATATCAATTATTGTATGTATGTGTTGTAAATTATGGCGTTTAATGTAATTTCTTTAAAATTTATAGTATTATTTGTTTTTATTAAGATGAGGTATTTTCGAAATTACAAAAAATGTCAAGGAAAATATTATTACATTTTTCATAAAATCTTTTCTCATTATTTTTTAATTAAACTTTTAACTGTAATTATTTTCATCATTATTTCTATTTTCTACTGAAAATCTGTTGCTGATTTTGTGAGTCAGGAAGATTAAAATTTACCTTTTCTCTTCAGTAAAGTATATTCAAAACTTTTAAATCTATATTTTTAAAAGAATTTTTTTTCTTTGCAAAGAAAGCTCAGAATTTAAAATTAAATTGGATTTCTTTTGATTGCAGCAAAATATGTTGTCAATAGATTAACAAAGTTAATTAAAATTTTAGAACTTTTGTTGTTTCACATTTTTAATTAAGCTTTGATAATTTTGAAACGAAAAATCTGAAAATTTACTTGAAAATTTCATACTTTTCCATATTGATTAACAGTTTACAATTTTTGAGCCTTGCATAGTTAAAATCTACTATTCAATCTCCAGCAGCCCTCTACCTCTTCCAGCAGCCCTTTACCTCCACCAGCAGCCCTACACCTCCACCAGCAGCCCTCTACCTCCTCCAACAGCCCTCTACCTTGTTAGATGTGGAGATTTTCCCTTCAATTAGAATCTGTTACCTTACACCAGCAGCCCTTTCCATCCACTAGAGACCATCTACCTCCTCCAGACCCAGTAGCCCTCTACCTCCAAAAGCAGCCCTCTACCTCCACCAATAGCGCTCTACCTCCACCAGTAGCACTCTACCTCCACCAGCAGCCCTCCACCTTCTCCAGCAGCCCTCTACCTCCACCAGCAGCCCTCTACCTCCACCAGCAGCGCTCTTCCTCCACCAGAAACCCTTTCCCTCCTCCAGCAGCCCTCTACCTCTACCAGCATCCCTCTACCTCCAACAGCAACACTCTCTTTTCACCGGCAGTCTCTCCCTCTACCAAGAACACTCACCACAATCGGCAACCATCTCCTTCCACCACCAGCCCTCTCCTTTCACCAGCAACTCTCTCCTTTCACCAGCAATCCTCTCCTTTCACCAGAAGCTATCTCCACTACCCGCCCTCCCCTTTCACCAGCAACTATCTTCTTATACTACCAGCCTTGTATTTCCACCCGCAACTCTCTTCTTGTGTAGCAAATATCGTAGTACCTAGATAATTACATTGTCTGTAAATCTAAATGTGCTTGTAAATAGCTACGAAAAACTTTTATTGCGATTAACCTAACCTAGCTACGTCTGTAAATAGCTACGTCAAACCTGTATTGTATTCACTATGTTTGTATATAACGTAGTAAAACTTGTAATTACGTTGATTAACTTAACTTATAAGATAGAACCTAAAATAAATTCAGTTGGAATTAGACTCTGCTTGATTACAGTGTGAGAGTAATTGTTTCTTGGTTTGCGAACGAGAAACGTTCTGAATCAATCTCTTGAAAGATAGAACTAGATTGGGAATTTGATACAGATAAAGTTGTTTCCGGATTTACATTGATAGTAAAGTATTGTTTAACTGACTAGTTCTTATGCCTCGCCGATCATAGCGAGAGGGATTGAGTATTGATACAGATAATGTCGTGTCCGAATTGACATTGATAGTAAAGTGTTATTACACTGATTAGTTCTCATGCCTCGTAGATTAACGAGAGGGATTGAGTTGAACCAGGATTGATACTGGTATAAAGGATTTATTGGAGTAGGGCATTTACTACACTTTCACCATCAATTCTCTCCTTTCATCAGAAACCCTCTTCCTCCACCAGCCACCCTCTCCCTCAACCAAGAACCCTCTCCCTCCACCAGCAACTCTCTCCCTAAACCAAGAACCCTCTCCCTCCACCAGCAACTATCTCCCTCCATTAGGAACCCTCTCCCTCCTCCAGCAACCCTCTCCCCCCACCAGCACCCCTCTGTTTCCCTCAGGAACCCTCTCCGTCCCCAACAACGTTCTCCCCCCACCAGCAACCCTCTCCCCCCACCAGCAACCCTCTGTTTCCCTCAGGAACCCTCTCCGTCCCCAACAACGTTCTCCCCCCACCAGCAACCCTCTCCCCCCACCAGCACCCCTCTGTTTCCCTCAGGAACCCTCTCCGTCCCCAACAACGTTCTCCCCCCACCAGCAACCCTCTCCCCCCACCAGCAGCCCTCTGTTTCCCTCAGGAACCCTCTCCGTCCCCAACAATGTTCTCCCTCACGGAGTATAAAATAATATTGAGCAGAAATCGACCTGTTCCTATGGCTTGGCAAAATTCCGTTAATGAAATGAAGGTTTTAGAAAATTACGGAAGATTTCGTTAACGGACGGCCTGGCGAAACCGTTGATTTTGAAATCGTTAACTAACAGAATTTGGAGTTTTTGTAAGAAAAATATTAACGGTTGAAAAAAAACGAAACTGATTTTTTTTCATTTTCAGTTTTCAATGTTAATCTTTAAAACCTTTAACAGACAAGGGATACAGAGCATACAAAGAAACCAAATATCTAGAAACCTTCTGTATTCAAAATATTGAATATCATTCATACATTTACCATTTATGAAATACACGAATATTGTATAAAATTACTAATTAGTGCTTTTTTACAAATTCTTTTACATTGCTTATGATCATAAACAAGTTTTTATAAACACTAGATACTACTCTATTGGACGTCAATTAACGTGTCCTGTACCTGAACCTGACCCGCCTGTTTGGAAAATATATGACGCTGTGTCCAAGGCAGATGGAAAGGTAAGGTTAATTTTGATTATTATTCATGGTATTTTGTATTTGACACATGTAAGTTATTGGTATATTCGATTGATTTTATTGAGGTAAATGTTTAGAAAAATAAGAGTCTATGAAGAAATCATCATCATTAGAGTACTATTGGAGACCCATTGGAGACCTCCATGGACGTCTCGTTGGAGACCCCCAGATTCTCGTTAGAGACCCCCATATTTTTTCTTTGGAGACCCCCAGATTTTCATTGGAAACACCACATTTTCGTTTAAGACCCCCATGTTATCGTTGGAGATCGAAAAATTTTCATTGGAGACTCCATATTTTCATTGGAGAGCCCCAATATTATCGTTGGAAACTCTCATATTTTCATTGGAAACCCCCAGATGTCATTGCAGACCACATATTTATCATTGGAAACTAAGATATTTTCGTTGGAGGCCCACATATTCTCGCTTGAGACCTCCAATGACAAGTTTGGGGTCTCCAATGAAAACATGGGGATCTCCAAAGAAATTAAGAACGTGAATCTGGAAGTCTCCAATGAAAATAAATGGGCCTCAAATGAATGTTTGGTGGTCTCCAACGAGAATCTGAGGGTCTCCAACGGAAACATGGGGTTCTCAAATGAAAATATGGGGCCTCCAATAAAATTGGGGGGTCTCCAAAGAAAGGCGGTCTCCAATAGCACTCCAATTATAATGATTTCTTCCCAATAATATGTTACGCATTTATTTGAGTATAAATAAAAATAGTTTTTGCTACAAATTGAAATTTTATAATCTCTAAATCCTTGCAACCTGATGGTATAAACCTTTTATATTTCAAACATAGTTATACAATTTCAACAGCAATCATATTAATTACGTAATAAATACATTGTTGATTTCCAACCTAGGAAGCGAGTATCCATGTATATGAAAAAAAGGGTTGTGATAGAGTAGGTCGAGGGAAACGAAGGGAGGCCATTGCAGAACTTTTAAAGGTAAAACTCCAGCAATAATCTATATAATAAAACAAGACATTCATATGTATGTTGCCTATATCCGGCCAAACGGCTGGACCGAATGGACTGAAATTTTTGTGGACACTCATAGGTAGGTGTTATAAGCTAAAAAATCGATTTTAAATTTTTTTAATATCTTTTTTTCCACAAGCAACGCCGGGCCCTTCAGCTAGAATTAAAAAAGTTCCCTGTAGGATTTGACAATAGAATTACAAAAAAAACTTGTGCGAACATTTTGGGAAAAAAAGTAAAACTAATTTCATTTATTTAAATCTTAAAAACTTAAGATAATGTCGAAAAGCGATCGCTTAAAAAAAAGATATGATATGTCTTATTATTAAATACTATTGTCTACAAAGTTATGTTTTGCTTCGTGAACTATAATTAAGAAAATGAAAAAGAAATTTAAATGCGAGCTCTCTCTGTTTTGTTTAAAACAACTAAACTTTATAGAGCTTAAACATTCAAAAGTTCTTGAATAATGAATAGAGTGTGGTGTTCCTGTATTCGGAATGTATTTTAAAAAAGCTATATAGCTTGATTTTACAATGCAGAAATTGTTGTTCTTGTTTAAAACAGTTAAAAAAGAGTGCACTAAAAGATGTTTACTGCAAATTGTATATACAAAAGAGGCATGAATCTCTTTTTTTATTTTGATGGTTTTTAATCTAATCAAAATGGCGATGTAAGTTTAAACTTTAACCGGTTTCTTAAACCATGTTTCTTCTAACCTTAAAAAATCGCATTCTTTGGAACATGATTGGAAAAAAATCTATAACATTTAACATGAAATAAATATATTGTAATATTCTTTTCTGAATACAAAGGAAAAAGAGTAACTTAACCTGTCTTAAACGAATTAATATTTAAGTATAAAATTTTTTAAAAACTTATTTACTTAGAGGCCATACAAATATGAATCTGAAATAAAAATCTTTTTTTTTCACTCTTTTATTTTTCTTATAAAACTGTGTCACATTATGAACTTCAAACACTCCTTAAAACTGAGATTAATAAACTTGTTAGATTATCCTAACCATATTTTAATAAACTTGTTAGATTATCCTAATTATATTTTACACGATCTAACCCATTTTTAAAACTAGGAAGGAGTGACAAGGCTAGTACAACATTCGGCCCCTAGAATACTTCAAGTTCTACATGGGGTAAGCAACTTTTATATTCCATGACCTTTAGATAGAAATAATATTTCCTACATTTTCCTTTAAAAATTACCAATTATTTTATTACTAAGAGGAGAGGAAGGCTAGAGGCAATTCTTTGTCTGAGATATATTCTCTGTGCTATGGAAATGGTGTGTCAAGCACAAGTTAAATCATTCCAAGGACACTTTTTGTAAATTATATCAGAATTCAGAGACAATCGAATTTTTCACTGTGGCTTCAGGGGCGTACTTGGGGTTCAATCTAGGAGAATGAACTGCTGGTACTCGCAAGCTTTTTAAACTAGAATAAATATGTACTTAAGGCACATCTCTATTTGGGACTGTTTTTACACTAAAATAAACATGTACTTAAGGCACATCTCTACTTGGGACTGTTTTTAAACTAAAATAAATATGTACATAAGGCACATCTCTACTTGGGACTGTTTTTATACTAAAATAAATATGTACTTAAGGCACATCTCTACTTGGGACTGTTTTTAAACTAAAATAAATATGTACTTAAGGCACATCTCTACTTGGGACTGTTTTTATACTAAAATAAATATGTACTTAAGGCACATCTCTACTTGGGACTAATAAATATGTACTTAAGGCACATCTCTACTTGGGACTGTTTTTAAACTAAAATAAATATGTACTTAAGGCACATCTCTACTTGGGACTGTTTTTTAACTAAAATAAATATGTACTTAAGGCACGTCTCTACTTGGGACTGTTTTTAATTGGTGACGCTCAGAGTGAGAAAAGATTTCTCAAGAACTTGTTGATAATAAGTTTCTTTGAATTTTGTGCCCTATCCGAAAATGTAAATTGGCGCGGTTTACATGTACTTTGTACATATTGAGTTTACATGTACCTTGTACATGTTGATTATGAACATTGTTTCATCGAGGGGTTAACAATTTGTCTATTTTATAGATTTCTAAGGAAAAAACATAAAATCATGCAACTGATGGCAACCATTTACTTCTATCCAATAATTGATAAATCACAATACAACATTTCAATGCCACTATACAGTTAGACAAAGGAAGACAAATCTGAGATTGTGTATTTTGAATGATATGCTATTTTTTTAACTACACAAAACAGCTAACCCTCGGTATAAATTTTGTTCCGATGGTTAATCTTCTTATTTCTGATGAATAAAATTGGTAAAATAAAGTTAGTTCCCATGAAATGTGATTACAGAAATATGAAAATTAAACCTCGGAATTTTGGAACAAAAAGGGTAATAAAGTAATAAAAAAAATTCAAAAGCCAGAAAAAAGTCCGAACAGGTACTTCACCCTGTGGGTAAGCTTTTCCACGGGTTAGAAAATAGCATTTTATTCAAAGTCTCAGAATTAATAAACAAATAATTTAAATTATATGAATTTTAAATAGAAATCCCGCAAAAACAATTTTAAATAATATACAAGTCCAAGAAAGAACTTAAGAAATTATTATACATTGCTAAGACAAATTGATATTAGGGTGTCCCATTAATTCTGACAATTTTTAAACAGCCATACAAGTTATGACTGTTTAAAAAATTCTAAGCCAAGGGTTCATTTAAAGAAGTAAGTAAGTAAGTACGATTTATTGAAGATAAATCAAAGTGCTAATAGCATGTTATATTACGAATAACATTCTCATTAAAATAAAAATATAAAGATGGACCAGAACTGAATTATGCATGCAATAAGATGTCGATCATTTTCAACACCTGTTAAGGAAAATGGAGTGAATTCAGTTATAACAAAATAATTCATCTATAAAATAAAGCTCTTCGCTCATATATATATATATTTGTATATTTATATATATATATATATATATATATATATATATATATATATATATATATATGTTAGCTATATGCTGGCCAAATTGGCTGAAGCTTTTTAAGGGAACTCATGGGTACTCCAGTAGGTATAAAATGCCTTTTTTCAATAAGACGGTATATGCCATTTTTTTTAAATGTTGCGAAAAAGCTGTGAAACCAAAAAGTGAATTAAGATAGTTAAGCATGAGAAATTGTTATTATTTAAACAAAAACTACAATTATAATCTCCAGAAAAATTTTCTAAATTCTAATTATCATCTACATTTTTCTGTGTATAAAGTAAAAACGCTATGTAGTTTTATGATATTCCTCCTTTTTTCTTTGTTAAAATGTTAGTAACTTTTTATGATTTCAAAGATACAATTAAAATACTACCACGAATTTAAACTTTTTTCTCACTACGTGCAAGATTCCAACTGCCATGTAAAACAGTAGTAACTATCCTATTCTATCCTACATCCATAGGTTTTACCACGAGTATCAAACTGTTCTCTAACAACGTGCATAACACATGATAGTGCAAATTCAATGGTACCAATAGAACCGGAAGACAATATGAATAGATAAAATGATTTTTGACGGCAGGGCGGCTTAATATTTGGTTTTAAAAAGAAGTTTGTGGTCGAAAATATTTTTTTAAACGCCCCGTCGGAAGGACGGGGCGTACACTTTTTTTGCGCCCTAAAAGATGTGCAAAAATTTACAATGCACTAAATAAACACTTTGTAGATATCTTGAAAAATGGTAGAGAAATCGGCAGTACCATAAAACCGTTTGTGAAATTTTGTGTTATAAGAACCCAGATTTTGGACAATTTCACTTCTTTTGGTGGTTTATAGGTACCATTTGATATTTTAAAAGCTAAGATCGTATTTTACAAGATCATCCCTTATGGTTATGGGGTCGGTAACCATAATTATAAATTTTGTAAAAGTTTATTTAAATCGAAAATGGTTAAAATAAATTAAAAATTCTGTTTTTTTACACTGTTTGCAATTCTGCGACCAAACTGTAAAAACTAGAAAAGATTCAAACTAAGGACCTAAAATATGCAATGAAAACAAAATGAAAATTGAATAACTTGAACAAAATCTATATATTTGCGTGTAACTACAGATTATTTTGACCCAGAATTAGTATTTTTTTTTACTAAGAATCCTGTAAAATGTATTATAAAATAATATGAAAAATCAAACTTGATCTAGTCGGATTTTCAATTATTTCTCTATTTCATAGTTAGGACATTTCATAGATAGGACATTTCATAGTAAGGACATTTCATAGATAGGACATTTCATAGTTAGGACATTTCATAGATAGGAAATTTCATAGATAGGACATTTCATAGATAAGACATTTCATAGATAGGACATTTCATAGATAAGACATTTCATAGATAAGACATTTCATAGATAAGACATTTCATAGATAAGACATTTCATAGTTAGGACATTTCATAGATAAGACATTTCATAGAAAAGACATTTCATAGATAATACATTTCATAGATAGGACATTTCATAAATAAGACATTTCATAGATAAGACATTTCATAGATAGGACATTTCATAGATTTTTGTTAACCAGTAAAAATTTGAATGATTGGCATCTACGTTCTTTCAAAGATCAAATGTTGTCAGATTTTGTTATTTGTTTCAACTTTTCACAACGGTAGCCTTATTTCGTCTCGTTTTTCTTTTACTAAAAAGTGTTTAATTATGATAAATTCTTAGGTGTTTCTGCAGCAATAAATTGAGAATAATTCGTCTTAGCAGAGAAATTACAAATAAAAAATAACAGTTTATAAAAAAAAAATATGTATATCTAATGAATACTTGATTGCTGTCAAAGCTTTACAGGGTAAAGTTGTGAATCGAATATTGCATTCCATCAATGGAGGGTGACTTGAAATGAATGTTTACAATTGCTTTCAGAGAAAGAATTATATTTATTCCACAATGTCTGTTTGTTACTACTGTTTAATTATATAATGCATTAGATAAATGGCAAAAATAACAACAATATCTTCCACATCTTAACACTAGAAAATACGTGTAGAACCTGTTTACGTTTGATCCATTTTTGTATTTAAAGTTTTAAATATCAAAGGCCTTAGAAATCATATTACAAAGATATCAGAATAAAAAAGTTTGAGTTTGATGAGAGTAATCAGTTCCTTTCTTTGTTTACGTTAAATCTAGGATTGAAATGGTTTTAAAACATTAAAGTTCTTTAAGAAATGAAACAAAAGGAAGAACAGATTATGAATTGCTTTTTAGGCACTCGTAAAGCGTTTAAAAATGGTTCTACGTTAAACTATAGCGTTATGAAACGTTAAGTACTGGATATTTCGGTAGAAATCAGTTTTATTAAACTGATAATACACTTCTAAATCCTGGGTGTTTAAGTTCATAAAGCGTATTAAACTTGTGTTATGTAGCACGATTAAAATAACCCCATTTAAAATCATCTTTTAAATAATCGGATAAAAAATACATTTAGGAAAGGGTCTAACTCTAAACCTTTTTTATCCTAAAAAAGATTAGTTTAATCTAAATCTATATTTAAACCTACTCCTGTACATTGGATTTAGACTTGTTACAGCTCTTTAGAGAGCCTTGAACAAAATAAAGCAATTTTTTGCACAGATTCCTTGAATAATGTTTTTTTATTCTAAATTTGGCAAATGTTTTTGCATATTTGAATTCGCTGTATTTGAATTCCAATCTTTTCTGTTTACCAAATAAACAATCTATGAAATGTCCTAACTATGAAATGTTCTTACTATAAAATAGAGAAATAATTTAAAATGCATGGGCAGATTATATCAAGTTTAATTTTTTATAAATATCGCGATTGTTTTTCAAGTTGTTCAATATTTTTTTTGCTTTCATTGCATTTTTAGGCCAATTGGAGCATCTTTTCCTTTGTTTGAAACGTTTCTAGTTTTTACGGTTTGCTCGCAACAAGGCAACATTTCTAATTGATTTTAACCATTTTCGACGTAAATAAACTTTTACAAAATTTATAATTTTGGTTACCGATAACTTTAAAGGACCCTAAAAATAAGAGATGGGATTGTAAAAAAATATCAAATGGTACCTATAAACCCACCAAAAGAAGTGATATTGTCCAAAATCTGGGTTGTT